GAGACAAGGGGAAGCTGGAACTCTAATCCAAGTATTCCGTGAGTAGCAGTGGGGCACAAAGAAGACACCTTGGATCTGTCTACCAGATCCTGCTTTGAAGCACAACGATGCAATCTGTGCAGTGCAGTTAAGACTTGCCCACTCACTGGAGTAATCTGTCTACCAGATCCTGCTTTGAAGCACAACGATGCAATCTGTGCAGAGTGCAAACTGCCTTCAGGATCTATGTTCTCACTAACACATTCTACAGCAAGGTCACTCCTTGCTAGGAGGCAGGCTCTTATTTTTCCAAGGCATACTGCTTCCAGGTCACAGGAACAGCAGTTTAAAGTGGTTGCCCACTCACTGGAGTAATCTGTCTACCAGATCCTGCTTTGAAGCACAACGATGCAATCTGTGCAGAGTGCAAACTGCCTTCAGGATCTATGTTCTCACTAACACATTCTACAGCAAGGTCACTCCTTGCTAGGAGGCAGGCTCTTATTTTTCCAAGGCATACTGCTTCCAGGTCACAGGAACAGCAGTTTAAAGTGGATGGAGTGTAGCACAGCTCTCTCCACATCCTGTAAGGAATAGCTTCCACCTGCCCCAGGACAGCTGTACCCATACAAAGCATCAAACAGTCACAAAAATTCTTCTCATTTTTTGTGTGTTGTTATTTGGCAAAGTACTTGGACATGGTGAAAGGTCTTGTAGTACAGTAAAGCCTGCAGAGTATCAGCGTCAAGGGGGAAAAACAAATTCATTTTCTGAAAGGAATCTTTCTCAGGACTTTCCCTTGAACATACCTGAAGTGCAACTTGGCATCACAGGACTCTGCACACTCAAACTATGAGAAAAAAAGGTGGCAGTCGGCAAACAGACACAATCTGTCCTTCTGCAGAGCTCCTAAAACCACACTGGAGTCCCTGGACCCCTTTAGAGAGGCTGAGGCTAAGAGCAAGTACCATGGTACACTTAGCCAGGTCTGCTGCACTTGAATTACCTGTATTGATCCAAAAAGAATAAAGGTCATACTAACTAAGTTTTAGGCTGAGAGACATTTGAACAACAAAACAACCAGAGGTCAACCCTGAATTAAATGGCTGAGTGTGTCAAACAAGACACTGAACTCAGACTACTCACAAGATATTTGTTCTTCATGTCTATGCAACCAATGTTCACAACGTCACCTGTACTATATAGTGTGTCTAGTAGTGACAAACCATCTTCAGTCACTGCGTACCAAGTCTTGTTAGAGCCACAGAGGAAGTTTGTTTGAAGAAATAAACAGAATAAGCAAAACATCTTTTTAGATTCATGGCCAATTTAAGCCATTTGATGAGTGCCCAAACAAAATCGCCACCTGACCAAATTCTGAAGGTCACCACTGCCCCAAAAAGAGTGACAGTGAACTGTGGCACTAACAGGATCTGGCTGAACCAAAGGCAAAAATAAATAAACCCAGAGCATGATCTGTTGAGAATAACAAGAACTCACCATCCCTCAAACCTATCACTCAGCAAGACATGTTCAGATCCAGAAGGTGAAGTACTGAGGTTGTAGCAACAGATCCAAGGCACTGACACAGCTTATTATTAGTGCAGTTCCAATTAGGTACAACCAGCACCTCTGCTATTATTTTCACGGGTAACACTATTGTCCTAGCATGTTATTCACACCTAGAAACTAAAGCAGTTACTCATGGCTGAGAATAGATACCCAGTCCAATTACCAGAGAGAGGCACTGAAAGAGAAGGACTGGCTTTAAGAACTTGGTCTGTGCCTATTCAGTCAATGCAACAAGACAAATTGCTTTAAAAAATGCCCAGACCTAGTTTTATCCCTGAATTAAGTGCCCTTAAATTGCTGCAACCATATTTCATAGCAAGGTAATTCTTTTACCACATGTCAGGGAGTGTCATTCAAGAATGGGGTTTGGAAGTGAGAATTGCCAAGAACGGAGTGTTTTTGTTTACCTTCCCCCTTAGATAGTACAGCTGATTACATGAATCAAGAAGGTACATTTCTCTCATCTTTTGCCAAGGAGATGTACGGATACCACCTGCTAAAAAGAAACCAGAATGTGTGTGCAAATTCAAGCCCTCATGTACAGCAGCTTTTATGGCTATAAACATAGGTGTGAGATGAAAATATCAAGGCAAACATTCCTCCCATCAAAACTCAGTGTGCACCTGCTGGGACAGACTTGGCAGCCTAAATCCAGATCTGAACATCAAACATTTCTGTGGAAATTCTCCTACAATCAAGGTAGGACATCAGCACCTTGTTTTCCATTAAGCAAAAGATGGAATTTGGCTTGAAGGACTGCAATTGTCAAAGATTAATTCAAAGCACCATTGTGTAGGTAAAGAGGCAGCCGAGAAATCTGGCAGAATTAAACAGAACTGACAACAGCTGACTGGCAAGAATCACACACAGTTTTAAGACCTTTTTAGCACATGGCAATTGAGTCCATCTCCTAGTCATTCCTAAACCAACCACCAGTTCCACAGCGAGCAATGTCTGCACAGACACAGGATGCAGGACCAGCAAACTGCCAAACCAGGTCTGAGTGGTCAGCGTAGGCTAAAGCCAGGCCAAGTGTTTGTCTCCACTATCGCATCCCTGGGTTTGTTTGAATTCCACAGATGCAACACAAAGGTTATATTTAGTGACTAATGCAGTTTGACACCAAGAAGCTTAAGAGCCTGTTTTTTTATAATCAAGAAGGAAGAAACCTGCAGCACTACAGGCCTGTCACAAAAAGCACTGCCACACATCTCTTCTGTGCAAGGCCACTGAAAAAATAAAATCAATAAATCAAAGTCAACCTTGACCTTCCTTGCTCTGTCTCTAGGCAAACAGGCCCAGAAAAGTGATAAATGAAGATGCAGCTAAGTCTGTAGTTGCTTCTGGTTCAGAGCTATGAGGGTCTAGTGTGCCTGAAAATATATCCCTTCCTTTCTCAGGATTGGTGCAATAAGAAATTATTTGTACAAAGTTATCTATCCTCTCTCTCATTAGGCCTTCGACTAAGCTTCTGCAACTTCGAAATTCTTATAACAAAGCTACTAAAGCAAGAAGACAACATTTCTAGGAGCATGTTCCAGCAATCAGGCAGAATTTCCTTCTTATTCAGTTCCACACAGAGCCCTTCTCAAACTCAGGTTGAAATTCTACCTGTGTTGAAAAGAGTTTGCATTCCCCAACCTGTTATTCCACACATGCTCTTTGTCAGCCTTATTGGACATGTCACCTACTACACTGCAGGAAGGACAATCATGGAAGTGGATCTGTGGTACCAGAATTGAACTCGTTGGTACACACTTCACTTTCTTCATGCACAAACTCAAACAAGACACTAAAGGCTCCTGGAACAACTTCTGCTAATGCACAGTTCTGATGGGAATTGCCTAAACCTGCAGCCAACTTTTACTCCATCTATAAACTGCTGCATTACAGAGCAGTCAGAGATTCCAGTTCTAGCTGATGCATCATCATATGGGTATCACATGGCAAGATCTAGACAGGCTAAGGGTATCTACATCATCTTCTGACACAGCAGACTCAGCATGAGACTGTACAGATTGATTTATACACATCCTCATTATTCACTACTGATTTTGTCAAATGTCTGATCTCATGCCTGCTACCACAGCTCAAAATACGAACAGAATAAAAATAAACCTCATGGAAACATGATTGGCTACTAGTGTGATCACTAGTAGTGTTAGAGTAATGAACAAAATTAACTTGTAATTCTGTGTAAAGTGAAGTTTAAATTCTTTAACAAAGTACTACTCCCACTGTAATTCTCTAAGACTCAACCAGCTTTCATACAATAAACATACACTGAATAGCTGAGTCCAAATGGTGTACTTGGCTCTCAACCTCCCCCACCTTGATGCTTCACAACTTATTTCTAGCACAGATCAGAATCAGTTAAGGAACAAAATTTCGTAATACTTGTTTTGTGTTTTAACCGCAACACGAGCTGAAGGATACAGCATCAAATACAGAGTTGTATTTTCAGCACAAACAACCACGAGGAAGCACCTTCAGAATTACCTCCAGTTGCCAAAAAGCTCACAAAGTAGCACAAAACCACTGAGCATTTTTGAGGTATATAAATATAGGTATCAACTCGCCAAGTTATTTTCACCACTTACTCTTTCACAGAAGACTACTACACTAAAAGGAACCTGGCAGAGAGGGCAGAGGGAAAGGGATGGAAAGCCTAATTCCATGTTTAAGGCAAGACAGAGATTTAAATTCCCATTTAGGGAAAACATGCTTACCCAGTGCTCTTTCCTTAATTAAAACTGGATGTTTTGCAAACGGTTGTGATGATAAAAAAAGCATGTAAGGAACCATACCTGCTTTCTAGGCTCAGCCTGTCACAGCACAGAGTGTAGTGGTGAGTTCACTGCCTGATTCACCTTGCTAATTGGGAAAAATGCAGCAGTGCATCCTCCTCCCTCAGTTACTCACACATGATTTGAGTGGCCACACACTCATACTCACTAATGTGGAGACAGCTTTGTTGACAGTGACGTATCTGTTACTCACCTAATTGAGGTGGAATAAGCTGAGACCTTTATTCAGGAGTGTCAACAAAGAGCTTAAGCAAAAGACAGTGTATAGAACCAACACTATGCTTAAGTTCCTTTACGAGCTACTTAAGTCAGCAAGGGCAGAGCTGTGCACCAATGAGGACGACTGCACCGAGCAGCACAGCATAATGTGTGCTCCGTACTGCTCTTCCAGTTCTCCAAGAGGAAGACTCAGAGAAGCACCTATAAGCTCTCAGAGACAACCAGACCAGAATAACAAGCTATTGTAACAAATCTGAGAAGTTATTTCTGGCCTTTGAGTTTAACAACCAAGACTACAACCAGCCATTTAGGACCAGAAACAGCAAAGATTAAGCTTAATGAAAAAAAAATTACATTAGTAGCTTTGTTCACATCACAGGGTTTAACCTGTATCACTAGGCACAAGGCTCATTTAACACTTACCAAGGCAGAATTTCTGCACCTAGCTTGGCTGCCACGATTCTCCACGCTCCCAAGGGTGTGCTCTGGAGAGATTTCAGATGCCATTTCAGGAGAATCCAAGAGGAGATTTCTAGGCATCACAGTTTCTTGACTTATGGATCCTGATGCAGCACAGAATGCCATCAGCACACTACGTGGGGCTGTTAGCTTTATTCATGTCTGGAAACAGAGAAGAATGTGGCACATTTAAATCTGCTTGTTAAAATACTTGAAAAGAGATGGCAAATAGTAAAAAAAATCCCACACAAGTTAAGGAAGAGCATATCTTTGTGCTCTGGAATATATCTACCACTTATGAGCACCTTTTAAAAAACTGGTATTATTCAAAAAGGCGACTTTAAAAATCCAACAAGGAAAGAAAGGTTGTGTACCCTATCTTATGTGCTTCCAAACCAAGTGTCTGCACACAGTTACCAGCATGTTCCCTGCATTCATCCTTGTCCTATAGATTTGTTTTCTACTATGACACATCAATAACAGCAATAAAATCCCATCAGCTGAGATACAAACTGACTCAGCCCAAGTAGCTTTATCAGCTTTTAAACAAGAATTCTATTTATCAGATCACCAAGGGAAACAGGCCCTAATTCATTTCCTAGCACTGCTGCAGTTCACTCACATGTTGCTGAAGCAGCTTGATGCCACCTGCTTCTGGTGAAAGATCTTGGCAGGACTCGGTGCCATTTTTGCACCAATGTGTTACATAGCACGATTGCATTTTAGAGCTTAAAGAGCTTTTATTTCACTCAGCCATGAAGAAACAGCACTTATACATTTGGAAGACACTTACTGGAACAGACATATGCACCAGAACTTACTGGAGCAAAAGCCCCCAGTTTTTTAAGCTATCCCAGTCCCTAGTTCTGTAATACCTCTCTGAATTGTCATAATTTCCCAAAACACTCTGGCAGAGGTTTTTTTCCATTATTATGAAGGACACAGACAAAAGTCATCTTAGTGCACTAAAAGCACAAAGAGAGGCTAGGCAAAAAGTAGAACCTAGGTCATTTCTCACTCCAATCCATTAAAACACCCTTTGGAACAAGAAATTGCTTTGTTTTTTTAACCATCTTTTCAGCCATCCTGCCTGTGACCCGTGAACAGCAGTGACACCTTCCTCAAAACAGCTGGTTCTGAGGTACCACGCTGTGTGCAGCCAGCTGGGAGCTGGATAGCATTACCCTGACACTGCACAAAGGAAATGAGATGGTCCTGCTTCCCAAGGGCTTCTCCCTTTATTACGGTTCGAGAGGTGACATGAGACGCAAAGCCAAGTCTGCATTTCCAATTCAGTCGGATTACTTCTCCTTCCTCCCCACTGCTGTGGGCTGAGGGCTGAGAAACCAGAGCCTTCTGGTAAGCTGATTAGTGTTTCATAGCAGTGAGATAACATCTGCCAATACTGAGCAACAATTCCATCCTGCTGATGGCCTCCTCCCAGGAGAGGGCTATGACACTACCAGGGGTGCGTGGTGCAGCACCAACACGTGTCCTGTGGGAAAGCTCCCACACAATGCAGCTAGGGCTGCAGTCCAGCAAGTCTTGGAAGCACATCCACAATCCAGAGCCCTGGATTGCCACAACAAAAGCATCTGATAGCCTTCCTTGTGAACACCAGACCTAGCGATCAAGATTCAGCCTTACTTTTACACAAAACACACCTTCTTCCTTTCTTCTATTAATAAGTTCAGCTATAAATAGGTACAATTCATCCTCAGGATAATGAGCTCTAAGTGATGCCACAAAGGTAGAAACACACTCGTGGTCCTGCTGTTCAGACCTGCAGGACAGGCAGAGCTGAGTGCACTGCAGCAGCTGTTGCACCTCTGGCTGCTGCATTCCCAGGCAGAAACCTAAATGGGAGAAAAGCACCAAGCCTAGAATATATCCTGCAGCAACAGCTCCAGCTACAGCAAACCCTGTGAGGCTGAAGAGTCATACACAAACACATCCACTCCAGAAAGTCATGTCATTGTTAGAAGCCCACTTGACTCTCCTGAAATCCTACATGTGAACACACACAAATATATGCAATTTTCAGAAGGCAGGACCATCAGAGAAAATCTTGACACCTCTGGAATTCAGAGAACTCCCACTGGCCTCAGATTTCATCCTATGACTTTCAAGGTGATGTTCACATGGAAAAGAGGGACCAGCAAGAGGTGAATACTTCTGCTGACATCCAACATAAGTAAGTATTATTTCTTATCAGCACTTTTAAGCTGCAGCATCAAATCTTTATCCAGGTGTTACCAATATAAACTGAACACCATGTTTGTTCAGTCACTCAGGGATGTGGTATAGACAACTATGAGACTTCAAGAATTATACTCAAAACTGTTAACATTTTATAGACTACATTATGAGTGGTCATAGCTGCAGATTACAATAGATGCCATACACAAGACCCACATTGAAAGACCAACCAAATGGAGGTATTCATTCAAGTTACCAAGAAATCAATTAATGGGTGAAAACTTTGAGAAAAAAGAAGTATTAAAGAGTACTCTTCTGCTTTGTCCTGGTATAAGCAGGACTGAGCCCCATGGTGGGAATCTGCATCCAGGACAGCAGGAACACTCAGATTCAGTAGTAAGAAACACTAAAGCCACAAGTTCTAAATAACAAGTAACTCTGCTTCTAGCAAGCTCCCATTACTCATTCTGGAGCTCCAGCTCAGATGTTTCACGAAGCTCCTGAACAATGAATAAAGGCAGTGAGTGCACAGAGGCACTGGTTCAGAGAGCCTCCCACACAAGAGCAAGGAGCAGGCATTACACACCGGTTCTGCTTTTGTGCTGGAAGCTGTGGCTTCTTTGGGGTTTTACTCATTTCAGAAGAGCCTGGGAGCTGTGCAATAGCCTGCAAGACAGCAGAAAGGGTGTGGAGGAACATCTTTTTCCCTTCTATCTTTCGCATCATCTTTAACACTTCAAGGGTATGTGTCAATAAGATCATAACCCATTTGTATACATTATTACTTGTCCCCTTTGCTGTGTTTTATTTTTTAATGCTTGGAGAAACTCCGACACAATTGTACAGTGTCTAGTGCAGCTAGAGCTGACATGAAGCTGCCCAGCACTGCTGCAATACACACACTATGCTTTACAGACAAATTCCCCTCCTAACCATGGCTAAAACTGAAGTTTCTTCACCCTTTTCATGAAAGGCTTTATAGATTTAAGATATAAATAGTCAAGCATCTAATGAGTGTCCAGACCCCACTGCCTGTTTCAGTAGGATTGCTCAGGTAACAAGCAAGGGTTCAAAACTAAGGTAACCATGCTCAGAGACAGCAGAACAGCAGGATGACAGGAGCCTGTTCCTCCTGACCTTCAGAGATGCATTAAATATGAACATTGGTTGTGCTGGGATTTGTTGTTCAGTCACTGTAGTGGGTTTTTTAGCTTGGTTTAAGAGATGTGTGCCTGTACCAAAACAAAAAAAATATCAGGCCATGACACAAGAGTGCAGAAGTGTGACAGGAACAGTACTACCTGGAGTGAAGATCCCAAATATTAAACCAAAAAGGCATCTTAGGGCAGATGTGATTCTACCAGCTGAAGTGATCACATATCATGCATGTTTGTCAGAGGGTAGTTGGAGGAAACTGAAAGATTCTGAAGTTGAATTACATCCTCCAAAGATTTATTTTTGCTTTAACAGAGGCACAATAATTCAGGGAGAATGTATTAAGTTGCCATCAAAGATAAGGTGAGGTCTCTCCTTTCAAAATGGATATTTTTATAGTTTTGCTGACTAAGGTTACCTTGCTGAAGCTCAATGTTAGCATTTACAAGGGACTGTTTCTATAGTAGCAGGAGATGGAAAAAAATTTATTAACAATCCTGTTTGAAGACTAGCTTAATAGGCAAAAAGATCAATCCCACAGAAGTGGAAAACATTTAGATGCTAAAAATCAAATACCGCATAAGCCAGGAGCCAAAAGCCAGCAGACTGCATCATGCCATTAACTGCACAATATATTTAAGGTCAGTTGACAATTTTTAGAATATTATCATACATTTTTAAAAAGGCACAAGATCAGTCTGTGCCCTTCGCTGTGCAAACAACTTCTAGAACACTCTTTGCATAAACTGTTTCTCAAGCTAGATTTCTAAGCCTTGACTGTACTCTGAGCATCACACATGCTCTGCCTATTCCTAACCAGCTCTTTCTTAGTGATCCAACCGTGAACTTCAGTGAACTTCAAGGTTGGTTTAATCTGTCAGCTATATGCAGACACACCACACTCAGCCCTGCACACACTGTCACTCGTCTCTCTGCAGTGGTGGTCGGGTTTGGGAAGTTAAGCACCTGGTAAAAACATCTGGAAGCACTCTGTAATCATTTCAAGTGCTACCATGGGATGGGTTTTATAAAACTGATGGTACAGGAGCTGACTGGAGACCTGTATCTCTATCAGCCTCTGACAACAGGCAGTAGAGCATGTAAAACCAGGCAAAGGAAAGTAGGAATTCATTCAGATTCCCGTGTGTTGTGGTCAGGAGACCACAGGGCTTCCCAAATCAGGCCAAGGTATTTGTGCCTAATAACCTCATGAAGTTTTCCTTGTATTAACTGCTCCTGCAACATACCTTTGAACCTGCTGTACCACACCAGAGCTAACCAAAACCAGCTGGTCCATGACATGACTTCACTGAGCCACCCCTTCTCCAAACTCCTCAAAACTATCTGAGCCACAACAGTGGACACATTTCCTCCCAATGAACAGAGCTATCAGCAACTGAATTCTTCTTACCTCCTTCAGTATATGAAATGCAGAGTGAATCCCTAAGCTTTAGAGGTAACCCCTGTGCTACTCTTGTGATATACTAAAGATTTAAGCTTACTGGTAAAATAGACTAAGTGACCGTACTGCCTACAAAGGCCAAACCTCATAGCTAAGTTGACTAATTCTAGGAGCAGACAGGATGGTTGAAGAGATATTACTCTGAGCATGTAAAAACCCCAGAATCTGACAGTGAATTTGTAAACACTTCCTATAGCAAGAGTCAAAACCAAACTGAAGTAACAATGGACAACACAATGTATAGGAACTAAAGCAAACCAAAACTGGCCAACATGGTTAAGTTCTGTCTTTTCTTCTCCATATCATAAGC